TTCCAGCAAGGCCAGTTGCTGCGCCGTGCGCGTGTCCGTCGATGCCAGGGTGGCAAACTGCTGGGACAGACTGGCTGGGTTAACAGCGTTGGTCGCGTTCGCCTGCAGCTCTTGCACAGTGGCAGTGAGCGCCGCAATCTTTTGGGAAGCGGTCTGATTTGCCGCCTCCAGCAAGGCCAGCTGCTGTGCGGCGCGTGCACCAGCCGTGGTGAGCGCTGCAGCGGCCGTTCGCAATGCGTCCACCTCGGCTCGCAGCGCGGCTGTCTGGTTGCGTTCCTGGGTGACAGTGGCCTGCAGAGAGCTGGCCTGGGCAACGGCGGCAATGACCTTGGGCTCAAGGGTTGCCAGGTCACTGGACACTTTGTTGACCTGGGCAGTGGTGGCTGCGCCACAGCCGTAGTGAAATTTGCTGGGGTCCTGAGGGAGTGGGGGAAAGCAGCACAGACGCAAGGGTGTCAATGTGGGGTTTATGCAATGACTGATCAGTGGCAGGGGGGCTGCAGTTGGTGCAGATCGTTGGGGGGGGGTGTCCTGCATCACATCCACAAGCATGCCATCTATCATCTCGTTTGTGCAACTCTCGCCAAACACCTGGCCGTTCACGCGCATCGTCACTTGGGTGCACATATGTTCAGCCTACGCACACGCACCCACCTTGCTGTCAGTCGTTGCGCTGGCCGGGGCCAGCAGCTCGCTGCACATCTGGTCCACAAGGGCTACGTTGACCTTGGAAGAGCACGACTTCGTCAAGGCTTTGACGGGCGCGCACTGCATGGGGATGATGCGCGACGAAGGCGCATCATTGGTGAAGGTTGGACAAGCTGACATGCATTTGATTTTGCGTGCCAAACACAACGGGGTGCGACAGGCTGGTGAGCAGGCATCCTTTTGCACACACGCATGCACGCCAGAGCCAGGTTGACTCATGCCACTTGTTGCATCGTGCGGGCGCGGAAGCACACCACAGGCCCTACGTTATACGCGGGCAGCACACACCACTGCCAGCCTCTGCTTCTTGGCGCTCGGGGTCGCTTGAGCGCTGGGAGTCTTCTGAGCGCTGGGGGTCACTTGAGCGCTGGGGGTTGCTTGGGCGCTGCGCGGTGCGCCCCAAGAGTTTGTGCAGTGGGAAGGTAGTAAACGGGGAGTTGTGTGCAGACCGTGATGCGGTGCACAGAACAGTCGCAACCTGCACACAGGCGGGTTATCCACCTCCCGACGGCTCCTCGCTGGCTACAAAAAACACATGAGTGTCTGCAGCTGCAAAGCTGTCGCAGCTGCTGCAAAGACAGCTGAAGTGGGAACAGACATCCAAGCTCGTGCACAGCATGACGGCCAGGCACGTTGGCTGAACAGCTGGGAATGAGGAGCAAGCAGCAACGTCTTTCGCGCTGCACTGGTTGGTCAGCTCGCATCAGGTTGTTCGTGGCTTGCGCCCTCTCCCAGTGTCTGCCCCGGGACACACCACGGTGGGTGTGCGTCTGCCGGCGCACCTGGCACACATCGTCCAGCCCAGCATGTTGACCAGCAGCAACCCCACCACTACACTCACGAGGGACCTCCGAACACACCGCATGCTGGGCGTGGCTGGCGGCGTTGCCTCGCTGATAACCGCGGACGAATTATGACCCGCGACAAGCCGCGACAGGCAGTGCGCTCATGGCAGCAACGGAAAGTCCTTGGTATGGTACCGATCCTGCAGAATTCGAACATGTGATGAAGCCCTCGGTGAGATTTCATTGTCACGGGCCCGGGAAGGTTGGACCCGATCAGTCATTGGACCTGAGCACCAAACGTCAAAGCTTTCGGGTGTGTGTACCGACCAGCTCGAGATTTTCAAGCACTCGCGTTATGCACTCCGCTGCTTGCCGCACACTTGTTCCTTTGATCCCCGGTGAGACGGTGACGGCCGAATACGACTCCAAGGTAGTTGAGGTTTACTTCTCTTTTGGTGAGTCACCCGTCGCAGCTGCCCCCATGGCTGCGTTGATATGAAACAGTAGATGCTTGGTCATGTAGTCATGTCGTTGAGGGCTGCGCTCCACGCGCCACAGGCAGGCAGTTCAAGAGCCTTCGAAATAGAGTTTTAAGTATGCGCACCTTTTGTCCAGGAGGTTTGGTGGCCCGCTACGCCTGGTGAAAAACGACACTTCCCACAGGATGACCCCCCACTCGCTAATGCGGTGTCATCACATGACAGACACTCTGGGGCGTCCCGTCACTGTTTGTGGGTGTGCAAGTAGCCTGGCCAAGATGGCCTTCTCACTTGCCTCCCGGGGAGGGATGGCTGCTGCTACAGCTGACGGGCAAAAATCCGAGGCCGCTGATGGGTAAACACGACACGCGCTGCTGCCGTGGAGGGGAGGCTGCTGCTACAGCTGACTGGCCCAAAAAGCCGAGGCCGCCGATGTTTACAGCGGCAAAGAGAAAAGATTGCTCGCCGCGACAAAGCCGCGGCGGCCCACTGCAGCCTAAGCGCCCTGCCCCCAAACCCCCGTGAAAACTGGTGCAAACTGCGCGCTCTGCCGAGTGCCGGCGAGAAAGTGGTGTGTGGTGGACGGCCTTTGCGGCCGCCCGGCGCATGGGCCCTCAAGGCCTGCGCGCGAGCGCAGGGGAGCGCTACGCGCTCGGGCGACGCCCAGCGCACCGGTGTTTGTCAGCGGGTGGGCAAAGTTATTGGGCCGGGTAGTTGTCTAAACACCACTTGTGCTGCCAAGCACAAGGAAACGAAACTGGAGGGTGGCTGCTGCCACCCCAGAAGAGCCAACGGCAAGGGGCAGCTGGTGCCTGCCAGGTGCTGCTCTCCGAGCAGCACGGTGGCCTTGGCTGCTGGCCAGCTGCCGCAGCAGCTACGCCTGCGGCGCCCCTCCCCTGACACCCCTGGAGCCTAGCCACTGCACTAACCTGCGGAATGCGCAGTGCCTTCACCGGCACTGCCACAGCAGACGAAGCGCACTGCCCCACACTACCCCCTCTGGACACCTGCTGCAAATTGTGGTACACAGCCGCCCCAAGACACAAGCGGAGCGCGCTGGCAAGTGGCACCTAGGGGCTGAAGCTAGCGACGTTCCCCGGAATCGAAATGCCCTGCTCCATCGCGAGGCAGTGCGTCTCTCACAGGCCGCAGGTGTGTTGAAGGTTTTGAAACCTTCGGTTAAGTTGTTTAAAACCTTCAACACAGAAGTGTGCCCCAAGCATTGTGTGAGTCTGTTGGCACAGGGCGTCTGTGTGCGTATCATCCGTAGCAGCTGCCGCCATGGCTGTGTTCGTTGGTTCAGCAACCGCTTGTGATCACGTCATCAAGGGTGAAGCGCTCCACGCTGTGAAGGAAGGCGACCAGAAAGCCAAGGCATTGGCAACTCGTTGTCAATATCGATTTGTGCTTGATTGAGGCTGCTAGTTGGTGGCCCGCTACGCCTGGGAAGAACGCCACACTCCCACAAGATGACACCCTACTCGCTAATGGGGTGGCTGCAAGTGGTCTCAGCGTGGCTCGTCCCGCGGCCGCGTGCCGGTGGGCAGGCAGGCGTGGAGGGCGGACTCAACGGCTCACGGGTGCGCCTCTGTCGCGCGGGGAGACAACCGGCAAGCCTTTTAGCGTCCCACCTGCCGGGGCGCCTGCGACCGGTCAGCAGCAACGGGTCTAACGTAACTTTGCGCGACGCTTGGAGCACGCCGGGAGGCGCGCTGTTTTGTTTGCCTGGGGGCCGAGCGGCCAAGTGGGGCAGCACGTCCCCAAAAGATTGACAGTTTCAAATGTTGGCACGCCCAGATAGAAGAACGGTCGCATTGCCACGTTGTGCCCGCCGTATTTTGCTGCGGCGGCGTCTTTGCCCCAGCGGCGGG